GGGGAGGGGGGTGGGGGGATGGGTTAGCCTGGTGATGGGTATTAAAGAGGGCACCTTCTGCGTGGAGCACTGGGTGTTATGCACAAACGATGAATCATGGAACACTACATCCGAAACTAAGGATGTAATGTATGGTGATTAACATAACAATAAAAAATTTAAAAAAAAACGGACCGTCTTCTGACTCATAGTGTCTTCACTTACAAAACGGAAACAATCATACCTGCCTTCATTTGAGAATTAATTGAAACTGTGTATATAACAAATCAGTACCATATCTGATGCATAGTTGTTCAGTAACTATTAGTCTTCTTACCTGATCCTAAGGGAGATAGGAGTTGCTGGGGCAGGTTATGGGGCCTCCCCAGTATTCTGATCAGCTGGGAGCAGTGTGTGTGTGTGTGTGTGTGTGTGTGTGTGTGTGTGTGTTTACGAAAGAGAGAGAGAGAGAGAGAAACTGTGAGTAAGTTTAGGGGAAGTAAGGTTATTTAATTGCATTGATTTTTCCTGTCTTCTTAAGTCCTTTCGTTATCTGCAGCTTCCTGGTATGAAGGAAAATGGGAAAGGAAAATAAGGATCCTTGGTAAACAAGATGCCAGAACAAAAGAAGCAGAGTGGTTTGGGGGTTATTTCCCCCATGTGCTGATAAAAACCTAATGAAATCATTTTCCTAGATACCTTGTGTTTTTTAGATCCACTTTCTCTTTCAGATGGTGCCAGTCAGGTGACACATTTTGTTTCTGGGAGCTTCATTTTCTGTGCTGGCTACGCTGGGGCCAATGCATTCTTTTGTCACATGTGTTAATATCACTGTCTTAGGATCTGTCAAAATGAAGAATCGCTTGCTTTTCTGTGCCAGAGCTGATCCCATAGTCTTATTTGCAAAGATTCAGACCTTCCTTGGCACCAAAATACAGAAACGAGGCATAAGTCTTCTTTTTTTTTTTAAAGATTTTATTTATTTATTCATGAGAGACACAGAGAGGCAGAGGGAGAAGCAGGCTCCCAAGGAGCAGGGAGCCCGGTGCGGGACTCGATCCCAGGACTCTGGGATCATGACCTGAGCCGAAGGCAGACGCTTAACATCTGAGCCACCCATGCGCCCACAAGGCATAAGTCTTACAGCTCTTTTGGTCTTTGTGATATTACCAGCAGGCAGTCCCTGTGCCGCCTGAACTCAGGGGTCTGCTGTGGTCCGCAGGGTCCAGCCTTAGGTCAGGCGCTGCTCCCTTTGTGATGGGGGGCCGGTGATACAGAGCGTCTCATCCAGACGGAATCCCCCTTCAGGAAATGAAGGAGGCCCTAAGACGTCTGACAGTAATCTCTCTTGGGCCTTAGACAATAATCTTTACCCTGGGTAAAATCGACTTATGCCTCTCCCCATGGTAAAAACTCCTTAGCCTCCTGCCCAGGATGAGTTTTTACCAACCCGCCCTTCTGGCTTGTCTGAGAAAATCATGAGCCATGTTTTTACAAAAATTATTTTGAAGATAGATAATATCTATCATAACATCTAGTATAAAATATAATTATATATGACTAAATATATTAATAACCTATCATTGATAATTAAAATAATTTAAATTTATACAATAATACAATATTTAATATATAAATATAAAGTTTATAGATAACACATGTTATCTATATTATCTATCTTCCATATTATAGTTACTATATATTATATATAATAATAGGTAATATGTAACTATAATATATAAATAGATAATATTTATCTAATTGTATATTATCTATCTTATCTAATATTTAACTAGTATCTATACTGATAAGGAATTAAGCACAATAGCCATATAAAGAACATCAAGCAAAATCTGAGCATCTTCATCCCCCGGAAGATCTACAGATAATTTACCAAGAAGGGTATAGGCCAGGGTTGCATTCTTGGCTTGACATCCACGGCCCCAATTTATTCACACTCCATTCCCATAATAAAGAAAAGTGGATACATGGTAGGTTATAAGAAGTTTACCCCCTCTGCGGGTTTTCCTGGTAATACTCATAATATTCACTATTGAATTCCTTCTGCAGGGGTTCTTAACCTTAGGCTAATGGGCATTCATTAAGTGTGGCCTATTACTATATCTCAAATAAAATATATATCAGGACCAAAGATATTCGATCAATTATTTCAATAAAATTAATTTCACTTGTAATAGTAAGATTTTTGTTTTTTGCCTTTAAAACCATAGGCTTCAGAGAAACTGTCAAAAGGATCCATGGCACTAAAAAGCTAAGAATCCCTAAGGGAGTGGAAAAGATCTTTCTCTATTATCTGCAATTTCATTAATTTAATTGTCACAGGTCTTAGTTCTGTCTTCCGTGGTCTCACCACCATGCCTCTGCTGGTTTGGGCTGTGCGTGTCTCTAATATACCGTAATTGCTGATCTTTCTTTGCTCAGAACACTCCTTTCAATACAGTAATAGTGCAATTCGTAGTGGAAATTTTCTTCAAATTTATTTCAACATTTACTGGACAAATCTTATGTGCTAGTTACTATCTAGCCAAAGAGGATACTAGGTTAAAAAAAAAAAATTACTGCTCTTTATCAACTTACAATCTAAGAGGAGTGTGTGTGTGTGTGTGTGTGTGTGTATGTGTAATGAGTTCTTGATTTATGTTTCCCCCACAGATCTTGGAGGCATCTGAGGTTTAATGAGGACTTTCCAGCATTCCAGACCGCTGCCCTGCAATGAAGCTCTGAGTCACGGTCCTTGAGTCTAAGGAGTTGGCAACAATGTGGAACCCCAGGACAGCCAACCTGACTAACCTTCACTCCGAGCAGAATCCCAAAATGATTCTGGCCTGAAATCAGAGCAAGCCTACAGAAAAACTTGCTCCTTAATGGAAACAGGAAAGGAGAGAAGGGTTTGCAACAAATTGCAACAGAGTTTCCACCATTCCAAAGAGCCCACCTTCCTTATCAAACAGGCCATTCTATGTGATGACTCCCGTTCTAGCCTTTTGCCGGACACAGAGCATGTCAGTCTTGCTGGAAAAATAAGGACAGGACCTCAGAAAACGAGACCTGGAACGGTGATACTCTCAAAACAGTCCAGTAGGAGAATTATGTTAGGAAGTCAGCCCAGCCCCCCTGTGATCCCCTCCCGCAGGCCTGGATTCCGGGTGTGCTATATCTGTGGCCGAGAATTTGGGTCCCAGTCAATTGCCATTCATGAACCCCAGTGCTTGGAGAAGTGGCGGGTTGAAAACAGCAAGTTGCCCAAGCACCTGAGGAGGCCAGAACCCTCCAAGCCACAGCCTCTCGGGGGCAGTGGGTCCTACAATCTGCAGGCAGTGAACGAGGCAGCGCTCCAGAGTTCCCGGTCTCAGCTGCTGCCCTGCGATTCCTGTGGCCGCACGTTCTTACCAGATCGGCTACCTGTTCACCAGAGAAGCTGCAAGCCCAAGGGTGACGGGCCCAGAGCACCAACCCCCAGCAGTTCTGACGATGGTACTGGTCCCAGGAAGGCTGCTGGGGGCATCCCAGCCCGACCAAAGACTCTCATCTGCTACATTTGTGGTAGGGAGTTTGGCACTCTGTCCCTTCCCATTCATGAGCCCAAATGCCTGGAAAAGTGGAAAATAGAAAATGACCGGCTCCCCAGGGAGCTCCGCCGACCACTCCCACAGAAGCCTCGGCCACTTCCCACTGGACAGTCCAACCAAGAGGGGCCAAGTCAAGCTCAGCTGGAGCCCTGTCCAAACTGCGGCCGGACCTTTGCCCCAGACCGCCTTCTGGTACACCAGAGAAGCTGTAAAGCTCAACCGCGTGGGCCAAAAATTCAGAATTTGACCTTAGGGAGTAAAGGTGACCTAAAAGAGTCCACTAATTCCAAGCAGCAAAGGAACATGGCAGCACCCATGGTGACTGATAAGGTAATTCATGCCACGTGAGATGCATTGTGTAGACCCATGGGTACTTTCCACCCCCCCGGGGGAATGAGAGAAAACTATCCCCAGAATCAGCTGCCTCAACCCCTAGGTTGGTTTCTTTCAATGCCTTATGTCTGCCTCAGTGCATCCTGTCCAAGTTGACCCCTGTCGGACCCTGTATCTCGGTTGGCCAAGTCGATATAAGAACATCCCTGCCTGGTGGATTTATAGTCCTCTTACACTTGCCGCCTAAAAGAAAGAGAGATGGACGTCCTTCTTCCCTGATTCCTAATGCCAGTAATCCTTGGGAGAGACTGTTCTTTGGAAAATGAGTCATTAATGCTGTGTCTACATTGCAGAGATATAATTCCCATTCCAACAGCCAATATTTATTACCGGTTTATTTTAGTCATCTACCTTAGGAATTCATTTTTGGCAACACCGGGTTATGCTGAGTTTATCTTACTAAAATAGAATCTGTGTCAAAAACCCCAAATGACTTTAGCAACAATTAGGCACTGAAGCACTCACAGAAATAGACGCACTCCTCAAAGACAGCATGTTTTCTTTTAACACTTCTGTGATTCTGATACGTGGGCGATTAACCCCAGGGCGCACTCCAAAGCGACGAGGTGTGGGTCCGTGGTTCCGGGAAGTTCTCAGTTCCCACTGTTGCTCAGTGGCCTGTGTTTGGGCTGGACAGCAGGCTTTGCTCCCCGCTTGGGCATTTGGGAATAAGCATGACACCATGGGTCCCCAACCTGTGTGGTGAAGTATCGTTTACCTGAGGGTTCACCATCAACCACAACTGGGGAAGAACGCTTATTGAGGGTGGCTCCCCACAAGACGTGGTCCGTGTGCTTTGTCCTGCCATTAAGCCCGGGTTAATCTTTTCTCTATGGTTTGCTACCCAAAGCCCCCCACCTGTAGGGAATAGTTCTTTTTTTTTTTTTTTTTAAATAGGCTCCACACGCAGTGTGCGGCTCCAACTCATGAGCCCAAGATCAAGAGTCACATTCTTTACTGACTGAGACAGCCAGGCACCCCTGTCTTTTAATGGACTGCTTGGGGGAAACTGAGGTTACCCAAGCTATTCTAAAAGATTAAACCAGAAGGACTGGGGGTGGGGGGGGGCAGGAAGCAGCCTTTATTTTTACTGCAACTTTTCTTCCTTACTTTTTTATTGCATTACATTGGCAACCTTCTAGTACTTTTTCCTCACTTTCATGTTTAAAATGAAATGATTAGAAAGTTACTGGTTTAGTAGATTCCAAGACAATGATCATAAAGCCCAAGAGTCAGACTAAGAGAGGCTGGGCAAGTTTTCCGATGAACATTGAAGAAAGAATGGCTAGTTTCTGTGCCGAAATCAAAACCCACACTCTTAAGTGTGGCATGAGCGAAAGGCTGGTCTCCTACACATGATCTGTTTTTCCCATCTCCTGCCTGTTGCTTTTCTTCCAAAATGTGTGGGGTCTGGATTCAGAGATCACAAGAATCCGTGTCTCAGGGCCACAAATCAGCGAGTCCGTTAGCTCTCTGACTCGCAGGCCTGTTTTCCTGAGTGTATGCATTTGCTTCACATGTTCTCAGTACAGATCTCGAGATAGGGAAGAGTGTGGTCAGGATTCCTGTGCTTGTTGTTGTAACACATACCGTGTGCCAACAGGCTGAGCACAGCGTGTTCTTACTCAGTCACGACTGCTCAGAGGCTGGCCTGGGCCCACGGCTTCACAGGAAGACACCTCCTGACTCAGCCAGTCGTCTGGAGGGGAGATGTCAGAAGGAGAGGTCACAGCAATGGCCCTCGGTGACTGGGGAGTTTAGATCAAAGTGGGGGCTGTCCGTCAGAACAAAGGCATCTAGAGGACGTGGCTCTGTAACAGCACCACCAACCCTGCTCCCGGACCCAAGGAGGCGCGTGTCCGCGAGTAGTTGGCGCTCACAGCTGTTAGATGTGTGCTGGCCCGGTTTGGGGACCACACAGGCTTTCGTGAAGGGCATAGGAAGGTCATCCAACATAGGGTCCCTTTCGCTGCCAGACTTAAAGCAAGCTTGCATGACTTAAAATGGAGAAAACTGGTAGGCTTCAGAGAGACAGAGGTTCTCTTGAAGCAATGGACTTGACTTCCCTAGAAGAGACATTTGCCATTCCACGGTGCCTTTCAGCTGGAAATGTCTCCCAGGCGGTGTGGTTTTCTCTTTCAGTTACAATTTGATCCATTGCTGTTTTTCTTTCTTTGTGTCAATTGAAATTTAGATAGTACAATTTCTTTGTATCGTTCAAAATTGAGATATTATGGGGAACCATCCATTTCCCATGAAAATCACTGTCTTGTGCACGATTAGACTTCAATATTTATCTGCCAGTGACAGCCAACTTTTGGTTATGACACACACGCGTTCTTGTCACACTTCAGATGTGCGCTGCTTCTCTTGTCAGTCAGAATCTAGAATCCTGGGTCTGACTTCAGATCAGCATCAGAGCTTGCCTGATGCTCTCGGAGGGCTCAATCTTGTAGCGAATTCAGGTGAGGAAGAATATTTTTGGCACCATGATCATGGTGCTTGGAAAACAATTCGCTCTAGTTGGGCAACAATGACTGTTTCGCTGGCAGAGGGAAATACGCCTCTGCTCAGAATGTTCCTCCAACATAGACTGGCTCAGTTCTCTTATGACACAGGGGTGCTGTTACCCTTCAATCAAATCTAAACACAAATAAATACCGCCTGAGATGAGTTCTTCTCCAAGACTTCCGCGGGCATTTTGCTTTAGCTCTGCTTGGCCCACTGACCACCATATGTGCTTGAATTGTCCCGTTGCTTCTCTTCCAGAATACAGGGCTGAATTTACCCTTTCTGATCTCACAGGCAAGCTCTGAAGGATGCTAAGCAGTATGGAGCAGAGGAATAAAACCCTGAGTGAGGATCCTTATTTCAAAGGTGTGACAGCCCTGGGGTTGCTGCATCTGCATTAGATGGTTTCGTGAGCTGAATCACACTTTGTCTCTTTCCTCCAAAAAAAATGGAAAGCCTGCATAAATAATCTCCACCGTAGCAAGACTTTAAAAGTGGTGATAAGCCCAGATGAAATGTTGATGCATAGTATGGAAACCCATAGATTATCCTTTTAAATGTTAATATTGCATTTATTTAATCTATTACATTTTAGTCTATTAGTCTAGTAAGCCTACTGTCTATTTTACTAAGCAATTTCCTAAGTGATGCTGAGGGGTACAGTAATAGAGGTCATTATTGCTCCTTATTTTAATATGAGTGGATAAATTTTAGTGCTTGCATTTTAATTTGGGAAAAAATGTTGCCCTTTTCTAGAACCCGATCATCTTTCATTCTTTGATTTCAGGCCCTTTCTGGCTAATTGGAACACAGATCAGCAGTTAATTAAATGTAACTACAAACCAAAATGAAACCTTGGTCTCATTATCTTTTATTGGTTAGATAATGCTTGGGGTTATTTTCTTAGAATTTTGCTTGTAACACGTGAAACATTGTTCCTAAAAATCCCCTACTATATTACAAAATAGGTGTTCTTTAGGGAAATCATCTTTTTCTGTAAATGATTCTCTCTGAATTGAGTTTTAAGCTACCTTTGGCATCCTAGATGTTTAGGTTTGAACTAAAATCCCATCAGACACATCGTTAGCATCTGGTGCTGCCATCTGGCGTTTTCTTTTAAAGTCAGGTCTCTATGCTGTCAAAAATACTGTTCTTCTTGTGTTACCTCCAAATATATTTGAGAAGGTGCCCTTATAATACAGACTGCAGTCATTTAGAGATACAGTTATATATTTGGTTTAACATTATGAATGCTGTTCCATGGCTAAGTATTCTCATTCTCTAAAGGCAAAACTCTCAGTGGGCATGTCACAATCAGAAAGAGTCAGAAGGGGCAGGATGCATGTTGTTACCTTGTCAAATGGGTGTGCACGTTTGCATCTACTGGATTAGAAGCATTTGGAATTTATATGAAAGCATGGAAGAAAGAAAACTGACTTTTACTGAGTACCTTTATGATCAGCCCTATATATGCATGATCTCCTTTGAGTATTACCATAACACAGATATGATTTTCCCATTTTCCATCTGGGGAGACTGAGGTGAAGCATCCTGCCCAAAGTCACACAGTGGGTTTGGTAGTGGGTGTCAGAGCCAGATCTAATTCCAAAGACCTTATCTTTTCAAATCTAAGAGACATGGCATGCGTGTGATACAAAAAGGGTGTAAGTATTAAGTAACGACAGAGGACAGAAGTGTGTTTATTCAGCAAATATTTATTGTTAGGCAGTGGACTGAGTCCTAAATATAGAGTCATAAAAAAGGCACAGTTCTTGATCTCATGGAGTTTTTATTCTTATGGAGGAAATAAATACAGAATTCCAAATTGTGGCCTGCCAGATTTGAATACTACTGCTTTAGATGTCAATTATTTAAATGCTATGAACAAAATCTATTAATCTTTTTTACAATTTTCTAATAAATGCAGGACTAAATAAAAAAAAAGGATTCCAAATTGTGATATGACAGTGTCTAATGATGGGAGGTTGATATTCCAATAATCTTGGTTAGAGAAGTCCTCTGGGAGGAAGTGATATTTCCGCTGCTACATGACAAGTAAGAAAGAATTAGCCAAGAGTAAAGATGTGGGAGGGAAGGGAATAGTAAGGGGAAGAGACATTCTGGCCAAAGGTCAAGTGGCCAGAGCCTGATGAAGGAGGTGACAGGCACACAAGATGAGGCTGTAGAAACAGTATGGTCCCCGAAGCTGCCCAGTGAACATAGGTCATCAGCTGTGTGGCTCTTGCAGGGATCCAGCTGAGAGCAGGTGAAAGCTTGGCCAAGGTCATTGATAACGAAGATGGAGATAAGGTATAATAGACAGAATTTGGTGGCAGTTGGGATGTTGGAGGTGTTGAGGAAGGGCCGAGCATGGCTCCCAGACTTCTGGCTTGAGTAAGTGCTCTGGTGCCATTTTCTAAGATGAG